CCTCAGCCTCCCGAGTAGGTGGGACCACAGGTGCGCGCCCCCATGCCCGGCTAATTTATTGTATTTTTGTTAAGAGACGGAGTTAGGCCGTGTTGCCAGACTGGTCTCGACCTCCTAAGCAGCAATCCGCCCGCCTCAGCCTCCCAAGTGCTGGCATTACAGGCTTGAGCCACTCTGCCAGGTCTAAAGGGAAGCAAATTTTGTCTTCATGATAGACTATTCGGAAAAGATGAACGCTTTGAACTTTGGGAGTTGCCAGATTTCTTTATTAAACGAATTTCCGTTATCGTCATTGCAACTTATCTCTTCCTTCCTTTTAAACTAACGCACTACACCCATTTGGGAACCTCTTTTACACTAACTACTCACAGTAAAGGGCCTCCAAAGACTGGCATTTCAGTTAATCTAACATTTGGATGCTAAGGAGATTGGTTGTCTGAGGTTTGGGAGGGAATTGGAGCTATTTACTCTCCAAAACACAGTGATTTTAAGTAAGGAAATGCTTAGGATGCAGTGTGTCAGCCAGTTTGAGTATGTGTTAATTTGGTGTTGGCAGTTTCACTCTCCTTTTAAATACACAATTGTGTATCTATATCATAAAAGTATATATTACTGACTCAACTTTTCAGACATACTTAAATCTTTTAGGTCCTCCAAATTCAGAAATGGATCGTTTAAAGTTGAGATCTGTCTATCTGTATATATTTTTTAAAGGATATTCAATGAGATCCCTCCCATAAACCACCCTGTTATGACTGTACTTAAATAATAAGTGGTTATAAAATTGACTCTGGTATTTTGGGAAATTGTTACCATTAAATATATCACAAATTTAAATGTCTAATTTCTTGTTTTTGAAGAAATTTTTATTTAGGTTTTTAATATATTAGCTAGTAATTGTATGATTTATTTATTTCTCAGATGTCTTGTGGTGAAATTGAAGGTAAATTCTTGAGACCTAGAGAAGAAGTAACGAGTGAACCACGCTGTAAAAAATTGAAGTCAACTACAGAGGCATATGTTTTTCACAATCATAGTAATGCCGATTTTCACAGAATCCAAGAGAAAACTGGAAATGATTGGGTCCCTGTGACCGTCGTTGATGTCAGAGGACAAAGTTATTTGCAGGAGAACAAAACTGAAACTACAGATTTACATAGACCTTTACATGATGAGATGCCTGGTAATCGACCAGATGTTATTGAATCCATTGATTTACAGGTTTTACAGGAAGTACGTCCTCCATTAGTATCCACAGACGATGAGATATATAGCACAAGTAAAGCATTTATAGGACCCATTTACAAACCCCCTGAGAAAAAGAAACGTAATGAAGGAAGGAATGAGGCAGACGCTCTAAATGGTATAAATGGCAGAGGAGGACAAAAAGAGAAACAGAAATTTAACTCTGAAAAATCAGAGATAGACAATGAATTATTCCAGTTTTACAAAGAAATTGAAGAGCTTGAAAAGGAAAAAGATGATTTTGAGAACAATTGTAAAGAATCTGAACCTTCTCAGCAACAGTTGATTCCATTTTATCAAGGCCATAATAATGGTCTCTTAAAACCTGACGAAGAAAAGAAAGATCTTAGTAATAATGTTTTTCCATCACATTGTGATTATCAACAGAATTTGGGGAATGAGACAGGCAAATATCCCTGTAATGGACAAATAATACCTACATTTTGTGACACTTCATTTACTTCTTTCAGGCCTGAATGGCAGGCAGTGCATCCTTTTATAGTGCCCCATGGTCCCCCTCTTCCCAGTTTGAACTATCATTTAAATATTCAAAGATTCAGTGCTCCACGAAATCTACCATCAAATATTTTCCAAGCGCAAGATGACTCTCAGATACAAAATGGATATTATGTAAATAATTGTCATGTTAACTGGAATTGTATGACTTTTGATCAGAGCAATGAATATACTGACTGTAGTGAGAATAGGAGTCGTGTTCATCCCTCTGGAAATGGCTGCAGTATGCAAGATGAGTATGTGAGTAATGGTTTCTGTGAAGTCAGAGAAAGATACTGGAAAGATCCTGGCATGGACAAGCATAATGGAACAGACAGGTTTGTGAACCAGCAGTTTCAAGAGGAAAAGTTAAATAAATTGCAGAAGTTACTTATTCTTTTAAGAGGTCTGCCTGGTTCTGGGAAAACAACATTGTCTCGGTGAGTAGAGGATACCAACTGAATACTTGGTAATTCATTATTTAAAAATTATAAATGATACTTGTCGCCGGCTGCAGTGACTCATGCATGTAATCCCAACACTTGTGAGGCCAAGGTGGGCTGGTCACTTGAGCTCAGAAGTTTGAGACCAGCCTGGGCAACATAGTGAGAGCCTGTCTCTAAAAAATAAAATAAAAATGTTAAAACTATAAATGATATTTGTAATCAGTGACAAATGCTTTCATGTTTCTAGTAGAAGAAAATCTTTAATTTGCTATATTTGAGAATAGCATCTGACAGTGTAACTATTTAAAAATCTTTTCTGATAGAAGAAAGGAGAATTGGCATATATGTTTATATTTAGATTCTGCTAAGGGCTTTAAAAATAGATAACACTTTGTATAATTATGACAGTGATGAAAGCCAATGCTACTTGAGGACTGTCCTGGCCTGCCCTTTTGAGTCAGCTATTCAAGAAAAGTTGGACTCAGTGTTAGAAAATTTGGGTTTTTCAAGTTCAGCTGGAGGTGAGAAAAGAAAGAGAAAATTTGGGTATTGACTCAGTTATTTCACTTTTTCACCTTGGGCAAGTTTTGCTCTGTTAATGGAATAAATGATACTTAATTTTTCTGAAATTATTTTGGGAATCAAATGAGACAACCCAAGGAAAGGAATTTTGAATGTGTTGAGCACTGTGCCATGTTCATACCACTGATTGGCGGAAGGAACTCTTTTTTGATTTCTTAAAATTCAGGAGTTTGAAGTGAGCAGTATCTGAATTGGCATTAGAACTGGTGATGGTTTATTGTATTACAAGATATTTCAAATTCCTTTTTTTTGTTTACATTTTAAAGCTATTGACGCACTTGAATATATTTATGCAATTGTGAAAAAATCGTGTAAAGTAAGCAGTACAAATTTTCTGCAGTTGATATAAGATGATTCAAGATTTGTGCCAGACAAGGGGAAAAAGAAAATTTTCTGGTATCTTTGGGTGAGGATGGAGAAGTCCAAGAAACCATTTTGCAAATGTTTTATATTTACTAACAAGACAATCTAAACAACCTAACTAAACTTTTTTTTCAGAGAAAAGACTAAAGATTTAATTTGTGATATTTCAAGCTAGATTATAAACGGTGATCTTTGTGAATGAATTAGTTCATTCCAGAGTTAAATTTTGGTCTTTGTATTTTGATTCCTTTTATGTTAGTGAGGATTTTGTAGAGAAAATAAAACTTCACCTTTATAATAATAGAAGTTAGGAGTGAGGTCTCACAAACATGGGCAGTCTTCTAGATTTAGGATATACTATCAGAGAAAATAAATAATTGAAATTTGGAAATTGGATAAAAGAGTCTGCTAGTTGGGACCACTTGACTAAGAGGAGGTATAGAAGAAACCTAAGGAAGAAAAGTTAGACTTGAGACAACATATTGGAGTATGTTGAAACTAAAGGTGAATAAAGTAGTGGAAATTCAATAGAATTTAAAGGAGACATTGTAGTGGGAGATGATAGAGGTGATTAGATATAATATGTATACTTATTTGAAGAATAGACATTTAAGAATGGAAGTTATATGTAGCACCAACAAGTACTATTTGTATTGTGATTCACAATTTACAGTGTTTCCATACATAAAAATCTTGTGAGATGGGTTGTTTTTTCATTTTATAGAAGGAGCAGAGGCTAAAAGAAGTTGAGGTTAAGTGATTTAGAAGTTACAAAAGCTAGCAAGAGATCAAACTAGGAATAAAATGATAGTATGTTTTTTCCCTTGCCTTCACTTTAATGCTTAATGGGTATGTCGTCTTATACATGACTGCTGACTTCAAGGAGCCTGGTCTGTAACTCTTTAGGTCAACACTTTTTGAGTGAAGTGGTTTTGGTTATTTGGAATTAGATGTAAAGTCACATACTCTTTGGTGAGGAATGGCTTCATGTAGGAGTTCACATTCAAAACAAGCTTTGACAAAATAATAGAGTGAAAATTGATAGATCAGAATTGAGCTGATTTGGAGGACCAAATTAAAAGACCGGCTGGGCGCGATGGCTCACACCTGAAATCCCAGCACTTTGGGAGGCCAAGGCAGGCAGATTGCTTGAGCCCAGGAATTCAAGACCAGCCTGGATAACCTGGGTATCCCAGCTACTTGGAAGGCTGAGCCCCAGAGGCTACAGTGAGCCATGATCGCGCCATTGCAGTCTAGCCTGGGTGTCAGATTGAGACCCTGTCTCAAAAACAAGAAAAAAAAATTAGTAATGTTTACTTTTGGTATGTGGTAATGAGTGTAGGCTGTTGGATAAAATTCAGATTCTTTGGAGGTAATGTTCAAGTCCTCTTCTTATTTAATTTAGTCCTTGCCCACATCTCAATCAGCATGTCTCTAACATGGTAAGTATTCAAGATGTCTGATGATGATTCTGAGAGAGACAGTAGGCCATAATAGCCTTGGCCATAGCCTTAGCCCATAGGGTGTTTATGGGTAGGATAGCCCAATAAAGATGTCACTTTTCTCCCTAATTGATTTATAAATTCAGTGAAACTTTAACCAAAATCCCAAAGGAGTTTTTGTATGAATTTGAGAAGCCAATAAAGTTTGTTTGGTATGTAACTATAACAAGGACAGTTTGAAAAAAAATGAGACTTATCCCACCAGCTATCAAAATATACTTAGAAACTACTATAATCAAAACTTTGCAATAATTAGCAAAATAACAAGTAGATAAAATTAGAGAACCCAGAAACAGATTAGGTGTGGTGGCTTACACCTGTAATCCCAACACTTTGGGAGGCTGAGGTGGGGAGCATCACTTGAGGCAGAAGTTTGAGATCAGTTTGGGCAACATAGACCCTGTCTCTATTTAAAAAAAAAAAAAAAAAAGGAAAAGAGAATCCAGAAACATACCTACATATAAGAGAATTTGATATTTGATGAAATGACATTTTATATTAGTAGGGCAAAATATTCAATAAATGGTAATAGGATATTTGATTGCCAGTCTGGAAAAATATTTAAAGCCCCTGTCTTAAATCATTCACAAAAATAACTTCTAGATGGATAAAGGACTAAGAGTAAAAACAAAACCAATAAGGAAACTGGAAGAAAGTAGAGAATGGGTAAACGCTGGGATCTTTCTTACCCCCTAAGAAATAAAAAGTGAGGGAATTTAAGAAATTAGTTTTTTGTTGTCATCTGTTTTACAGATTATTGTGGATATTTGCAATGGGAGGGTGAATAATGTCCCCCTCCAAAGATATCCATGCTTTAATTCCCTAAAAGCTGTGCATATGTTGCCTTACATGGTAAATTGGATTTTGCAAATTTGATTAAGTTAAGGATCTTGCAATGGGGAGGCTGTCCTGGATTATCTGGATTGGCCCAATGTAATAACAAAGGTTCTTAATAAGAGGGAGGCAGGAGTAATTAGAGAAAGGGTAAAACCAAAGCAAAGGTCAAGAGAGAAGATGCTACACTCCTGGCTTTGAAGATGGTGGAACATCCCATAAGCCCAGGTGTGCAGCTAACCTTTAGAAGCTGGAAAAGGCAAGGAAACAAATTCCGTAGAGCCTCCAGAAGGAACACAGGTCTGCACACACTTTGTTTTTAGCTCAGTGAAACTGATTTTGGACTACCGACCTTCAGAAATGTAAGATAAATTCCTGTTTTTAAGTTTGTGGTGTTATAGAAGTTACAGAAACTAATTTATTTACCATAGCTTAGGGAGAGATGGGAAAAGCCTTTTTTTCCTCCCTCCTTTTGGAGGAAGCAAGTCTCCTTAATTCCAGAGGAAAGACTTAACCTTTCTTAGTGTAGGTCCCTTTATTCTTAATTCAGGGAGTGTTTAGAGTACCCCAGTAAAGTCTCAGGAAGTGTATAAAGGCACTCAGTAAATAAGGGGAAAAGTGTTCATGATGTGTCAGTTTTACTCAGATTTTGTATTTTTTTTTTGAAAATCACTTGTAAATGCACTGAAAGTATTAAAATAATATGCAGATCTTAGAAATTTAAAAAACAAACCATGAAAATGGACTCTCTTTTAGGCCTTGTTTTGGGAATAGGTTCTCTTGGTTCACTTGTTTCTTAAATGAGAAATTGTAAGTATAGAGTACATTAGTTATTCAAGGCTTTATAACAGATTACCCTAAAACTTAGTTGTTTAAAACAACAAACATACTGCCTCATAGTTTCTGTAGGTATGGACTCTGGCTATAGTTACCTGGGTGCCTTTGGTTCAGTGTCTCTAAGAATGCTGTGACCAAGATGTTAGCTAGGACTGTGTTCTGGTCTGAAGGCTTGATTTGGGAAGGATCTGGTTCTAAGAGCTCTCTCAAGATTGTTGACAGAACTGAATTCCTTGTGAGCTATGTTGGATTGAAGACTTCAGTTCCTTGCTGGCTGGAGACTGGAGGCTTCTCTCATTTCTTTGCTGCTTGGCCTCTCTCCATTCACAAGACAGCTGATTTATTTCAGAGAGAGAGAAAGCATACAAGCTCAAGTCTTAAGACAGAAGCTACTTTTTTTTTTTTTTAAAGTAATCTCCAAAGTGACATCCCATCACCTGTATCATATTCTATTCCTTAGAAGCTGGGGACTAAATCTAAGCCTACTGCAGGATAAGAGGATACAAGGTTGTGAGCACCAGGAGGCAGGGATCGTTGGAGGCCATTGGTTTTGGGGTCAAGGAGATGCCTTATCTTAGCTCTCCCAGTACCATCTAACTTGCCAAAATTATTTCTTCTCCTGAATTGGTTTATTATCAAATTGGCAGGCTTTTATGAGTTGGCAGGCTTTTATGAGGATTAAATGAGGTCATAGGTTTATGTAAAGTGTTTGACATATAATAGATTCTCAAAAAGGTAACTATTGTTTTGAAAAAAAAAATAGAAATCAAGTGGCCACTGAGCCCAGATTTGATTTTTTAAAATTAGATATTTGACTTACTCAAATCTCTAAATTTTGATATTCTGTAAATCCATTTTAGTACCTGACTTGAGAGTTCTGATAGAGTCTAAGAATTTTGAAAATATGAATGTTCTTAAATAATTTATTTTTGCTTTAGAGGCTTGGTATGACATTGAGATATTCCTAGATTCATATGGGTGTGTTTTTAAGTCCATAAAATAAAGCTTCATGGTTTGAAGTAATTCAGGGAATTTGAAAAAGATGCATGAACAGTCTGTGCTGCCTGGGAGGAAAAGTATTTTCAATCTAAACTTATTTACTGTAGTTACGATTTATATATTTAAGAAAATGTTCTTCATTGAGATTTGTTCATATGTAATGTTTACTTGTTTTAATGATATAAATTGGTTTATTACTCCTCCACCTTTTATTTTGAGAAATAATTTAAACCAGTTCTTAGATACAAAAACTATGATTGTCATGTAGAATGATATTATTAACATCTTAAAAATCACCCCGTGCCAGGCATGGTGGCTCACGCCTATAACCCCAACACTTTGGGAGGCTGAGGTGGGAGGATCACCTGAGGTCAGGAGTTCAAGACCAGCCTGGCCAACATGGCAAAACCCTGTCTCTACTAAAAAGACAAAAATTAGCCAGGCCCATGCACCTGTGGTCCTGGCTACTCGGGAGGCTGAGGCAGGAGAAATGCTTGAACTCTGGAGGTGGAGGTTGCAGTGAGCCAAGATCATGCCAGCACACTCCACCCTGGGCAATAGAGCGGGACTCTGTCTCCAAAAAAAAAAAAAAAAAATCACCTGCTAATAAAGTAGTAGAATAAAAAAAAAAAAAAAAAGGAAGCATAGAGTATCTACAAAAGGTGTTATTTAGATTTCTGGTACTGTTGAACATAATTAGTTATTATGTGATTACAACCAAAATCTCTTTTTGGGTGATTGAGTTTTGCTTTAGAATGCTAATATCATGGCATTTTCGTATTCTGGGTTATCTGTATAAGCAGTAAAATGCCAAATGTATCATATAGACATGTTTTGGAAAAATCATGGCTGCCTGAAAAAGAAATCTAACTCCAGTCCCCCAAGGAAGCAGACACACAACCCAAACCATTAACTTTCATTTGGTTTGTCTGAAGTGATTTGAACTGTAATTCTGTAAGTGGGAATAGAGTTTTGTGCAAAAGTAATCGCAGTTTTTAATTGGCGTTTTAATGGCAAAAACTGCGATTACTTTCGCACCAACCTTTACACACTTAAGTTGCTTTATTTTGATATGAGTGATTTTATTTTTATAAAGCATACCGCTGGCCCTCCATTTTTGTTGATTCCACATCAGTGAATTCAACGAACCTTGGACTGAAAGTATTTGAGAAAAAATATTGTGTCTGAATTGAAATGTACAGACTTATTTCCTTGTCGTTATTCCTTCAACAATACAGTGTAATAACTATTTACATAGTATTCACATTGTATTAGGTATTATAAGTAATACAGAGATGAGTTAAAGTGTATGGAAGGATGTGCATAGTTTATATGCAAATAGCTATTTCTATATCAAGGTCTTGAGCAGCAATTGTGGTCTTGGAACCAATCTCCCATGGATATTGAGGGAGAACTGTATATGATACCATTATAAGCTGAGGGATGGAGAGATGACACTTGTCATCTTAAGAGTTGAAACCTTCCCTACTACTTTTTTAGTAGGAAATAAGTCAGTTTGAATCATTCCAGGCCAATATTCTTTTACTCTCAATTCCTTTCACCTTCCATCCCACCAATCCCCGCAGAAGTATACAGTGGTGTCCAATTGCCTAAAGGTTGAAGGAGAGGAGAGAAACAACAGAATACTTTCGTTGTTGCTCTCACCAAATCATTATCTTGCTGCATTTTCCCTATCACAGCACACTCCCAATTTCTTTCCTGAGTCATTGGTAATGTGAGTTCTCTCTGAGTACTTCTTAATCTCGCTGTGCTTGTCAATTTAAGGCAGTATCATTTTCAAAGCAAAGCTTGATTATCATTGACTTGAACTGAGAGTTTTTCGTTTAGTATTTAATAATTAATTTGATTTAGCGACTTAATTTCTTGAAAATTTAAAGTTTGATTATACTTTGGAGGATCACAGATTGTTCCATAACCTTAAGCCTCCAACTATTTCTTAGTAATAGGAGGATCATATATGTTTCATGGAAATGAGTTTATTAAAGCTGTCTAGAGTCACATATGGTTTTTTCCAAATGAATTGCTTGCTTAGGCTTACTTGCTTTTTGGGTTACCTGTTGCACTAGATTGAGGCAATTTTAGACAACAAATACAAAATTTACTGAAGTGAAAACATGGATAATAGTTGATATAATTTTGAGATTGGATAAAGAACGTTTTAAAAAGTTACAATACAAATGCTGCTTTAAAAAGCTTTTGTTACGGCCAGGCACGGTGGCTCATGCCTATAATCCCAGTACTTTGGGAGGCCGAGGCAGGTGGATCATGAGGTCAGGAGTTCAAGACCAGCCTGACCGACATAGTGAAACCCCGTCTCTACTAAAAATACACAAAATAGCCGGGCATAGTGGCGCATGCCTGTAATCCCGCCACTCGGTTGACTGAGACAGGAGAATCACTTGAACCCAGGAAATGGAGGTTGCAGTGAGCCAAAATTATGCCACTGCGCTCCAGCCTGGGCAACAGAATGAGACTCCATCTTGGAAAAAAAAAAGTTTTGTTAGTGTCTGTAATTGTGTAGATTTAAGTGTGAAATGATTTGAAATCTGAAATCTTTGTAAGATTAGTCAGCTCTTAGACTATTAGGTTCGTAATATACTTTCAGGTAAGTATCAGAAATTCATTTAATAACCTCTCCTGTGTGATTTATTTCAGTTATATTTATTTCTGATGGTTATAGATTTTGTAAATGGCACCTTTATGATTTCTTTTGTTAACAGAATTCTGCTTGGTCAGAATCGGGATGGCATTGTGTTCAGCACTGATGACTATTTTCACCATCAAGATGGGTACAGGTATAATGTTAATCAACTTGGTGATGCCCATGACTGGAACCAGAACAGAGGTTTGTTTTGGGCCAAATCTCCCGGGGTAGAATGTTTGGCTCAGAGTCAGAAGACCTAGATTTTATTCTCAACTTAGGTTTTTACCAGTTGAATGGTAAAATTTCTTCATCTGTTAGAGGTGATAATTATACTTGCCCTACGTGATCAGGGTTTTTGTGGAAAGCAGAGAATTTAGATAAAATGCCTTGTAAACTGTAAATAGTGTATCAGTATAAGCTGGTAAAATGATAGCAGTGTGGGATATTTAAGAGGCTTTATTTTGTACTTGATGAGTAAATTCAGAGAACTGTGAATCTGTACCATTGTTATGTGGTCCCAAAGTTATTTCCCTGAGAATAATGCTAATGTTTTCCAAGGCTTAATATATTGGTTGTGAATATTAAAAGTTTTTCTCAATATTGCTCTACAAGAAACCTACTTAAGGCTGGGCGCGGTGGCTCACGCCCGTAATCCCAGCACTTTGGGAGGCCAAGGTGAGCAGATCACCTGAGGTCAGGAGTTCAACACCAGCCTGACCAACAGGGTGAAACCTCTACTAAATATTAAAAAAATTAGCCGGGTGTGGTAGCACATGCCTGTAATCCCAGCTACTTGGGAGGCTGAGGCAGGAGAATCACTTGAACCCAGGAGGTAAAGGTTGCAGTGAGCCAAGATTGTGCCATTGCTCTCTAGCCTGGGGGGCAACAAGAGCGAAACTCCATCTCAAAAAAAAAAAAAAGAAAAGAAATCTACTTAATACATTTTTTTAGTGGACATGGGTCAGTTTCTGTTTATCATTAATAGGGATTCTTAACCTGGGCTACACTTTTGAATTTCTTGGGGACTTTAAAAAAAAGCAAAAAAAAAAAAAAAAAGACAAAAGTGTGCCTGACCTCAGCCCTAGATATTTTGGTTTAATTGATCTGGGGTGGGGCCTAAACATTGATATTTTTTGTTTTGAAAGTTCTCCAGATGATTCTGATATATAGTAAGAATTGAAAACTTCATCTGAACTACAAGTAAATATATATACAATGTTATTTTAAAAGAAGGGTGGATTGATGATTAAACAGATAGCTTTTATTATGAAAAATTTTAAAGAGATTAAAGAGACTGTAATGAACCTCATAGACCCATCACCCAGAATTATCAGTTACTAAGATTTTGGTATATGGGCTTTTATCTTTTTGTTTTTACCCCTTCCTCTGTTTAAAGCAAATTCTAGATATCATACTTTATACATTTCAAATTAACTTTTTTACTTAATCACATCTTTCACTTCATTGCCGTTATCACACGTATTAAAAAATGCCAGTTCCTTCAGGTCATGTAACCTAGTGTGTAATTGAATTTCCTCTGTTGTCCTAAAAATCTCTTCAAAGTTATTTTGTTTGAATTGGGATCTAAACAAAGTCCTCAAAATGCATTTTGTTTTATTTTATTAAGTTAAACCATAACATTTTCCCTCTTTTAACCCTTACACTATTGTTACAGAAACTAGGTTGCTTATGCTGTAGTTGTCTATTTGCTTCTTGGTGTTAACCATTGATTGAACTTGCTCCTCCTCTTTGTTTTATGTGAATGGAAATTAGCTCTAGAATAGAGGCTTGATTAGGTTCAACCTTTTTTTTTTTTTTTTTTTTGGCAAGCAGATATTTGGTTGTCCTATTCTTAGTAATAGTGAGCTTAATCAGTAGCTTCACAGGGACAACCTTTTCCCTCTGTCTGTTATCAAGTTCCCTATTAACCTTATATATGATGGTTTTATCCAACAATAAATTGTTTCCTGAGTCAGTTATTTCATTCAGAATTGCAAAATGGTGATTTTTAGGTTAGTTATTCCTTCTATGTTTAATAGAATTATTCTGTAATGAAGAACTTACCTCAAAGCTACCAACTAGGGTTGCCCTAAAGTCTAATATATACAAGAAAAATAGTAATGCTTTTCTTTTTGTTTGTCAAATACAGTAAGGAATTTCAGTGAGGATGTTTGCGTGTGTGTTTTAGAGATGGGGTCTTGCTCTGTTGCCCAGGCTAGAGTGTAGTGACACAATCATAACTCAGTGTGGCCTTGAACTCCTGGGCTCAAGAGATCCTCTTGCCTCAGCCTCCTGAGTAACTAGGACTACAGGCAAGTAGCTGGGACTACATACATGTACCAGCACACCCAGCTATTTTTTTAAAAACTTTGTAGAATTTTGAATGAGCCACAGTGCCTGGCTGAGGGTGTTTTCGAGTAAAAAGTTTTCACTCTGTTACAATTTATAGTTTCACAAGGATAAATTTGATCATAAGACTGTTTCCTAGTATTGATTTTATAACTCTCTAGAATTTCTCCAATATATTGGAGAGTGGCATAGCAATCTCAAACAACACTAATTTTTTAATTTTTTTAATGCCATAGAACATTGTTGCTCAAATCAAATAATGATGGGATTGCAATTCTGAAAATGTTTGGGGTTACTGGCCTAAAGTTAAGGGGAACAAGATTAGTTGATAAGTTGAATGAATAGACAGGGCAGAGCCAGTATACCTTTGGTGAACTAGTAAGTTTATTTGTGTGGGACTTTTTTTTCTCATTACAATACTAGCATAGCTGGGTGTGGTGGCTCATGCCTATAATCCCAGCACTTTGGGAGGCCGAGGCGGGCGGATCACTTGAGCCCAGGAGTTAGAGACCAGCCTGGGCGACATGATGAAACCCCATCTCTACAAAAAGTATAAAAATTAGCCAGGCGTGGTGGTGCACACCTGTAGTCCCAGCTACTTGGGAGGCTGAGATAGGAAGATGACTTGAGCCAGGGAGGTCAAGGCTGCAGTGAGCTGAGATTGTGCTACTGCACTCCACCCTGGGTGACAGGGCAAGATTCTGTCTCAAAAAACACAAACAAACTAGTACAGAATATTTCATTAAAATGTTTATGTCATTTGTATTATGTTAATTATATGTGTTAAATGGAGTAGTGGTATCTTATTAAACTGGGACGATAAATATGGACTTGAATATCTTTAAATGCTAGGCACCATTCTATGAAAATCTGTCTGCTTCATATTTATTATTAAAATAATCTAAATTAATTTTAGAACACCTAAAAATGGAAAACATCTCCAAAGTGTAATTCTTCTCTTTCTTACAGTGTGATAGTTCATTTGTTTAAGAAAACTATTCCCATTATTTGGGTACTCAGACATGTTTTTACCTAGGAGCTCTTTTCTTGCGAAATGTACTAGACTATGGTATTGGATGATAATGGAAAGAAGATAATCTCCCCATTCCTACAAATCAGAAATTTATTTGGTCAATAAAAACTTCTTTCTACAAACACCCACACACACTCCTTGCGATGTGGTGAGCGTATCAACCATTAGGTGAATAACTTTTTAATAAGGTCCTTCTTCGAGGAAGCATTGGCATCATTATGATTAGAGACAGGCAGTGGGACGATGGTAGTGTCTTGGTCGCCTAGCACCACAAGCTAGCAACTACATAGATGATGGCACCTATTTATGGACCCAAATTCTACAATTTCTTTTGGCTGTTTACGAGAGATTCTCCCAAGATAGTATTTCCCCATAGTGGATTATTACCTCACCTAACGACCTTTCAGACATTCTGTCTGGTCCTAGAGCATCTGTATAGCAATGTTTCATTCGTGTTGAATTAGTGGTTTGGCAATTCTACTCCTGAGACAACCTTCCCATATCTTTGGCATTTTGCTTTCAGACCTTTCTTTCCCATAGTCGTCTTGGGGAACAGGAGGTGTTTGGTTACATGAGTAGGTTCTTTAGTGGTGATTTTCGTGAGCCATTTTGGGTGCAACTCATCACCAAGGCCACAGTATTAATGCACCCCTCCCTTTGTAGTCCTTTTATCCCTCACCTCCTTCCCACCCTTGTTCCCCCTGAGTTTCCAAAAGAGTTTCGTCATTCGTGTATGCCGTTGGACTCCTCATAGCTTAGCTCCCTGCTTGTGAGTGAGAACATACCGATGTTTGGGTTTTGCTTCAGCCCTTGTTAATTTTTTTTTTTTTTTTTTTTTTTTTGGGCAGAGTCCTTCGCTCATGTCACCGCCGGCGTAGTGCGGTGGTGTGATCTTGGTGCCCTCACGGCAACCCTCGCCTCCCGGGTTTTACAGCAGTTCTCCTTCCTCTCAGCCTACTGAGTAGCCTGGGATTATTACAGGCGGCCTGCCACCCCACACTCCACTAATTTTTGTATTTTGAGTAGAGATGGGGTTTTCACCATCTCCTGGCGCAGGCCCTGGTCTTGAACTCTCTGACTTGTGATCGCCGCCAGCTGGCTCTCCAAAGTGCTAGGAATTATAGCGTGGTGAAGGCCACATGCGCCTGGCCTTTTTCTTTGTCTCTTCTTTTTTTTTTTTTCTTGAGACATAAGTCTTACTCTCTTGCCCAAGCTGGAGTGCTGTGGCGCGATCTTGGCTCATGGCAACCTCCACTTCACAAGGTTCAAGCAATTCTTGTGACTCAGCCTCCCGAGTAGCTGGGACTACACGCGCACACCACCAAGTTTGGCTGATTTTTGTATTTTTAGTAGAGACGGGGTTTTACCATTTTGGCCAGGGTGGTCTTGAACTCCTGACCTCAGGTGATCCACCCCACCTTGGCCTTTCAAAGTGCTGGGATTGCAGACCTGAGCCACTGCACCTGGCCTTAGTTTTTTAAATTTATCAAGGGTTCTTAATTATTTTTCTCCTCTCGTATATCTCAGAGATATACATACTCCTGTCATTAGCAGTGGCTTCTTGTGACAGTGATTCTTTTTTTTTTTTGAGGTGGAATCTTGCTCTGTCGCCCACGTTGGAGTGCAGTGGTACGATTTCGGCTCACTGCACCCTCTGCCTCCAGGGTTCAAGCGATTCTTCTGCCTCAGCCTCCTGAGTAGCTGGGACTACAGGTGCACACTACCATGCCCAGCTAATTTTTGTATTTTTAGTAGAGATGGGGTTTCACCATATTGGCCAGGTTGGTCTCGAACTCCTGACCTCGTGATCCTCCCGCCTTGGCCTCCCAAAGTGCTGGCATTACAGGTGTGAGCCGCTGCGCCCAGCCTTGTGACAGTGATTCTTATCTCTTGGTAGAAAAGATGGCATTTGGATGGGAGATAATAGTTTAGAAAAGTTCCATTCTACCGCAACTCCCAATTTGAAGCCGTAATTCTAAGAAATATCCACAAAGTCAGTTGAACTATGATTTTTAGCTAGTTGGTATATAAAGTTTTGCTGGTAAGTAATGACTTAAATCTATAACTTTTCAAAAACATGAGCCTTATTTCAAAAGCATTATTTGTACATTGTAGAAAATTAGAAAATACAGATAATCATCTGCAGTAACTTTCCCAAAAAAGAGAAAATACAGATAAAATATTAAATGAAAATATTCTTACCATCTACAGGTGACCACTTTTAATATCTCCATAAATCTTCCCCAATTCTTTTGACCTAAATAGGATTATATTTAACTATTGTCTTGTTACTTGCCATTTTCATTTAATAATCTCCATCCTTCCGTGTCAAAATAATTTTTCACCTCTTCTCTTACTTAGTCTATATTCAGATGTAAATTGTTCATCTCTTATATTTCCCTAAGTGAAAGTTAGTTCTAGACTTGAAAGCTGTATTAGCTGTAAGTTCAGCAAAATGCCCTTCAGAGCCAGTTTGTCAAAGCTAGCATCCATTCTGGAGAATACACCTGGCATATGGTTATGTCCTTTAATTCCCTTTCAATCTAGTGGAGTTCTTTTTTCATGACACTGACTGAAGAGATTGCATAGTTTCGGTTTTAAGTAAAGAGATGTAGTACATTTCTTAACAATAAATGTTTAACTTTTATTTTGTGTATTTTAACCTAATCTGTTTTTTTTATTTTTAAATTTATATTTTATTTCAGCGAAACAAGCTATCGATCAGGGAAGATCTCCAGTTATAATAGATAACACTAATATACAAGCTTGGGAAATGAAGCCATATGTGGAAGTGGTAAATATGAAATATGAGAAAGTTTTTATTTTTTATTGTCAATTTTTTCACATTCTAAAATTTGGGCTGGTTTGATCTTGATTATTAAAACATTTGTCCTTTGTTTTCTAAAAAGGTTTATTGGTTTGCTTAGTTTTTTAAAAAATTGTAAATGATGTTTTTTTAAGGAACATGTTCATCTTGTTAATTTTTTTTGTTTGCTTTTTTGAGACGGAGTCTTGCTCTGTCGCCCAGGCTGGAGTGCAGTGGCACCATCTTGACTCACTGCAACCTCCGCCTCCCCAGTTCAAGTGATTCTCCTGCCTCAGCCTCCTGAGTAGCTGGGATTACAGGCGCCTGCCCCTATGCCCAGCTAATTTTTATAGTTTTAGTAGAGAGAGGGTTTCACCATATTGGCCAGGCTGGTCTCGAACTCCTGAGCTCAGGCAATCTGCCGTCCTTGGCCTCCCAAAGTGCTGGGATTACAGGCGTGAGCCACCATGCCCAGCCTCATCTTGTTAGTTTTGAGTTTCCTTGAGAATAGTAATCAAAATTTATCCAGTTAAGTAGTCTTAACTTTTATAAACTGTATTATTTTATAAAGCATCATTTTTCTTGGTCGAGCAAGTTCATAGTATTGTTGAAATGAAATTTATCCATCTGCCTTCTTTTTACTTTAAGAAGTACTTCTCTGGGTTTTTTTCCTTTCCTTCGTGTAGGCCATAGGAAAAGGATACAGAGTAGAGTTTCATGAACCTGAAACTTGGTGGAAATTTGATCCTGAAGAATTAGAAAAGTAAGACACTCGAATTTTTATTGAACCCTTAACTTTTCTTCTTTCTTTTGTGATTTCCAACATCATTTCACAGTTTATTGAATACAAGTGTGGGTTCAGGAAACTGACGGTAAAATGTGAGGATCTTTTTTCTCTGGTTTTTGGCTAGGCCACTTCTCTGCATTGTCCTTCCACCTTCATCTCCTACCCATTTTAGGTCCCATCAGCTTTTTACTTTGTGCTTTCATGTTGCTCCCACTTTTCTGTCTTTTCAACTACGGGACCATAATGCTATACCAAGATCCTTGGAAACAATGTGTTTTGGAATTTAGGTTTTAGCGATTTTAGAAAGGTAGTGTAGTACATAGATACCTAATCTTAACTCCCTTTTCAGAGTTTGAGGGAGCATGTTATAATCAAACATCTTAATATTTCTGCAGCAAATCATGACTAGTCAATTCAAGTAAATGACAAAGAATCAGCATAATGTAAAGTCAGTTCTCATTAAGTTGTGCTGCCAAATGTGTATGATCTGGTTAGAGTTTGCTGCCAAATGAGTCAGTGGAGAACTGAGTTTTCACAGCTTACCAGATTTCAGTATTTGTGGTGAGAGATTGTGTACTTCTATTATTTTCAGTCCTACTCTTCCATTTGTACCTACATTTACCTTTTCCCTTCATATCACAGCGTTTCCTGACTGTTATTCCTTTTTTTTTTTGAGATGGAATCTCGCTCTGTCGCCCAGGCTGGAGTGCAGTGGCGTGATCTTGGCTCACTGCAAGCGCCACCTCCTGGGTTCACGCCATTCTCCTGCCTCAGCCTCCCGAGTAGCTGGGACTACAGGCACCTGCTACCACGCCCAGCTAATTTTTTGTATTTTCAGTAGAGACGGAGTTTCACTGTGTTAGCCAGGATGGTCTAGATCTCCTGACCTCGTGAGCCACTGTGCCTGGCCTTTTTTTTTTTTTTTTTTTTTTACTTCTAGTCTCTTCCTTGTCCCCACCTCCTGACATCTATTTTTAGGTAACAACTTTATTGTGATATAATTCACATACCCTTACAATTCACCTGTTTAATTGCATACAATTCAGTGTTTTTCTGTATATTCACAGAGATGTGCAGCCTTCACCCATCTTTTTTTTAAACTAGTTTTTCCCCACCTACCTCAGTTTGCTTCAAGCTGTTACTCTGTGTATGGGGTCAAACTAATTTATTTCCCTCTTGCCTTTCATTCCTTTGGCTACTTTCTCTTTCTCATTTGTATGCTGTGTGTTCGTGTATAGATAGATAGACAGATTTATTAGTGTTAATATCTGGTATTTTTTGCCTGCCTAGGTGTGTGTGTGTATCACACCTGAAGTGAAAGAGACAGAAGCTTAAAAATTAAAAGTATTTGAGTAATGCTGAATAAATGAATGATAAAATGCTATGCAGTTATGGCTTCATTACATTTTTGAGGAATTGTTAAAATTTATTATTTTCTTATTATAAATTCACCTTTATATAACAAAGCCATGTTAGCTGATATCTGGTGTAGTTTAATTTTTTAGAAGAATTGATTGAATCATAAGTCTTCACATCTTATGGATTTAATCTTTTTTTTTTTTTTTTTAATATTTTTTGAGACAGGGTCCACTACTGTCACCCAGGCTGGAGTGCAGTAGTGATCTGTTTTTATTTTTTTCAGACAGAGTCTCATTTTGTTGCCCAGGCTGGAGTGCAGTGGGGCAATCTCAGCTTACTTCTGCCTCCCAGGTTCAAGCGATTCTCCTGCCTCAACCTCCCGAGTAGCTGGGCATACAGGCGCCTGCCACCATGCCTGGCTGTTTTTTGTATTTTTAGTAAAGACGGGGTTTCACCATGTTGGTTAGGCTGGTCTCGAACTCCTGACCTCAAGCAGTCCACCCGCCCTGGCCTCCCAAAAGTGCTGGGATTACGGGTGTGAGCCACTGCACCCGGCTTGTAGTGATGATCTTGGCTCACTACAACCTCTGCCTCCTGGGCTCAAGCAATGTACCCACCTTGGGAGTAACTGGGACTACAAGTGTACACCACCATGCCCAGCTAATTTTTGTATTTATATGTATTTTTTTGGTAGAGAGAGGATTTCACCATATTGCCCATACTGGGCTCTTGAACTCCTGGGCTCAAGCGATCGGCCGGCCTCAGCCTCCCAAAGTGCTGGGATTACAGATGTGAGTCCCTGCACCCAGCCAGATTTAGTCACATCTTGCCAATTTTCAACTTCATCTCATTTTTTTTCCTATCTTTTTTGCTTTTTCTTCTTATCTTGAATGTAGACATCAACTTTGAAAAGTAAACATTTCTGGCCTTTTTTCAAGATAAGTAAATTGGCATTTGTACATATAGAATGATAAATGTAAAATATGTTTTCTGTATGTTTTGTCATGTCCAGGTCAAGTTACAGGAAACTATGAGGGTAAAATAAGTTGTCAGAAGTTCTTTGAGGGTCCAGAATAAATTTTAAACCACTTTTTAGTGTTATATAACCTCACATACAGAAAAATACATAAATATAAATATATAATTTAACTAAGTTCTTACAAGATCAACACACGTTTAGCTATCATTTACGTCATGGGAGCATTACCAGCACCTCAGAAGCTCTTTGCATTCCTCTTCCCAGTCACAGTTACCTTTTATTCTCTAAAGGTAACCATTGTTTTGCCTGGGTAATCGTAATCTTTCTTTTCTTTAAAGTTTTGCCATAATATCTTTGACCTTAATATCATAGTTTAGGGGGCGGGGGCAAGGTTAAAAAAAATACCATACCTTAGTTTTGCCTTTTATCAAACCTTTATATTACTTATGTATAAGACATATATATATATATATATATATGTATATGGAATCATATAGTTTATATTCATTGTGTCTAATTTATTTCACTCAACATTATGTTTGTAAGAGATGTTCAAATTGTGTCTCTGATATTAATTTGGTGTTGATAATAAATTTTAAAAATGTGGTATGAACCGTCATTAATAAGTTCTAAAAAGTGATATTTTACTTCTACTTTCTAAGTCCTAGAAGTCCACTCAATCTTTCTGTAATTCTTAAAACACTATCTCATAATCTTTAATTTTGTTACTAACAAGTGGATATAGTCAGCAGGCTTAGTGCATTAATAGGTAGTTCTATGTGAAGAGGATGTAATTAACATTTTTCTGTGATATATGGAATCCTTTTACCTTTTTAAAGTATTGATAAAAGCATTGAGTTTTTAATAAATCTTTTTACGTAAAATGTGGACAGATGAACATATATTCTGTTTATTTGCAAAATATTGTTTAGAATTTGTATACTTTTTTTCTAAAACAGTTAATCTCTAAGCCTGTACATTCTGCAACAAAGATTTATAATCCTTTTCTTTTTTGTTAGGAGGAATAAACATGGTGTGTCTCAAAAGAAGATTGCTCAGATGTTGGATCGTTATGAATATCAAATGTCCATTTCTATTGTAATGAATTCAGTGGAACCATCACACAAAAGCACACAAAGACCTCCTCCTCCACAGGGGAGACAGAGGTGGGGAGGCTCTCTTGACTCACATAATCATGTCTGTGTCACAAATAATAATTAAATTAGCTATTTTCAGCTAACACATTTGTTGTTGCACTTGAAAGAGTTAGTGAGCCTGTCTTGGAGTTTAAATAGTTTCAAATAAAAAAAGGCTACATTGCCTCACAAAGGATTTTCCCAGCAAGTTGTTTAATTTCCCAGCAAATTGTTAAAGTGTAAATAAAAATTAAATGAAATTGTATTTTAAATGTTTTTATATTCTCTTGTTGTAATGCTTTTGACTGTTATGAAAACCCCTGAGTAGTAGAATGGTGGGTAGGAGCTAGGATGTTTTTCTACAATCGAATTTTAAACTAACTTTATCTATTTTATAGATACTATTGAACAGTTTTTTAATAGTTCGTACCTAACTCTAACTTTTCATAAAACTTTAATGTTTTTCCTTCACTACCTTAAATATGCAAGAAATACTAACTTGTTATAGGGCACCTTAACTGTTTTCTCTATTCATTAGGTAAAATTATATTTCAACTGATTGATCTGTGTGACAAAATTATTTCTTAGCTATAATCAGCACATCACTTACTTCAAACAAAATTCCCCAGCAATAGTAGTAGGTATATCAATCACCTGGGGAGTTTTCTTCATAATATACATATTCATCTTGTAACGCATACATAGTCATCATCCTCCTTCTCAACCCATCTTCCTAACCCCACATGCTTGCCAGTTCTTGAAGGGATAAAGTGATTCTAATAATGTTTCACTTCTCTCTGTTGAATTTAATGTGATATAATTCTAGTATAAAAATATTTTGGACAGTTGTTTAACATTGGTCCTAAGTGGATTTGTACTGTCGAATATCTTCTAGCGCTGATTTTTCTGTAGAGCAAACCATATTTCTTTCACTGGATAGCTTTCTTTATTAGATGTGTTTCTTCACTTAAGATTAAAAACTGAGATGGAATTCATTTCAGAGGTCTTGTCATTCATCCCCTGCCTTCAAACCAAGCTTTACCTCGACTAACCTAGATAATTAAGCATTTCTCTTTGCAACATGAGGGAAAAAACACTACTACCTCTCTTAATACCATTGTTCCCAATGTCTTATGAAAAATATTTCTTCAATAGTTTTGATTTACAAAACCGTCAGCTAATTAGAATACTGTTTAAAAAAATTAAGCATTATAATTCTTTATATGTTTTACGTAATATTTTGTGGCCTTTAAGCTTTCTCCTAAACCATCGCATCTTGAATCCCATAGTATTTCTTTGTTTTAAAACCTTTTACTATTCCTTTCAACTTTAAATATTCTCTCCATGTTTATATTACTTTTTCAGTTGTGAGGCCAAAAACTAGATTCAGTGCTATCAACAAGGTCTTTGTTAAATTGCCTTTAGTGAAATAAGAATATGGTTTTTATTTGTACTATTCAGTGCTGTTAATTGAATGAATATTACTTTTATCTTGTTTAATACGTGTGTTTGTATATATTTGTTCATCTTAACTAAATACGATGTAAGAATATGCTAATTCATGTTTTGTGTGTAAATGTATATTATATACATATACACATCTTCATCTATGTTTTCATACTTTTATTTCAGAGTAATGCTTGTTAGTATTTGCACTTGTGTTTCTAAGTATTTTATTCTATAGATTAGCGCAGTTTGAAAATTGTACAAAATGATTTCATTTTGGGACAAGTGCAACAACTCTTAGGTGGACTATGTATCCCTTTCCCTCTGTCTTCATAAACTTAAGAGTAATAGTACTATAAATTTAGTTTTTTGGCCTGGCACAGTGGCTAATGCCTGTAATCCAGCACTTTGGGAGGCCCAGGTGGGTAGATCATCTGAGGTTAGGAGTTTGAGACCAGCCTGTCCAACACAGTGAAACCCCGTCTCTATTAAAAATACAAAAAATAGCTGGGCGTGGTGGTGTGTGCCGGTAATCCCAGCTACTTGGGAGGCTGAGTGGAGAATCACTTGAACCTGGGAGGCAAAGTTTGCAGTGAGCTGAGATTGCGCCACTTGCCCTCTAGCCTGTGAGACAGAGTGAGACTCCATCTCAAAAACAAAAAAAAAAAATTAGTTTTTAAAAATAACTTTTAATCATTTATTTTCAGAAAGTAGAGGATTGCCTTTGAGAGAAACATTATGAGAAAATATGTTCATATTAAGTTTATTTATTTTAATAAATTTCCAGATTTTATTTTAGACTTCATCTTCTAGTTCCAACTACTAAATAATAATCATTTAGAGATCATTTGTCATTACCAATTAATTTTTTTACACTATAATGTTAGTGAGACGGCTACTGTTGCATTACGAGGTCCAAATAAATAAATAAATCTTACTGAGGCAGGAAAACTAACATTCTTACTCAGAATTAAACAAACAAGGTCTTGTCCTGCTACATGTGCTGGATGCAGTGTGGTGGCATGACCATAGCTTGCTGTAACCTTGAACTCCTAGGCTCAAGGGGTCCTCCTTTCTCAGCATCCCAAGTAGCTGGGACTTCAAGCATGCACCGCCACACCTGGCTTGTTTTGCATTAAAAAAAAATTTTTTTTTTATGGAGATGGCGTCTTGCCATGTTGCCCAAACTGGTTTTGTACTCCTGGCCTCAAGTGATGCTCACAAAGTGCTGAGTTTACGGCATGAGCTACTGCACTAGCTTTAGTGGGTTTTTTTTTTGTTTTTTTGTTTTTTTGTTTTGAGGCAGATTCTTGCTCTGTCTCCCAGACTGGAGTACAGTGGCATGATCTCGGCTCACTGCAACCTGTGCTTCCCGGGTTCAAGCGATTCTCCTGCCTCAGCCTCCCCAGTAGCTGGGATTACAGGCACGTGCCACCATACCCAGATAATTTTTGTATTTTTAGTAGAGACGATGTTTCACCATGTTGGCCAGGCTGGTCTGGAACTCCTGACCCCAAGTGGTCTGCCTGCCCCCCAAAGCAGTGGGTGGGATTACAGGCGTGAACCACCACACCTGGCCTAGTTGGTTTTTTTAAGGCGGAAGAATAGTTGTTTTCCTAAACATTGTGGCTGATTTTAATTTAAAACAGAATGGAGGAATGAATATGCAGTGGAAATACTAAAATCACTATTTAAAGTCATTGCTTGGTATTTAAAAATCTATAAAAATGTGAAATTTACAATTTTTCATCAAAATTCTATTCAGCCAGTCTTTTTTGGGGGGCGGGGTTAAGAGAGGAGGTCTCTTTCTATTGTATAGACTGGACTTGAACTGGTCTCAGCTAATCCTCCTGCCTCAGCTTACCTAGTAGCTGGGATTACAGGCACCAGCCAGATACAGTGTTAGTGGAATAGACCCCTGCTGCTATACCCCATTCTAACCATCTCCATCACAAAGAATTAAAGTAGACATTAATCATATTTAACTAAGATGGAGTACATCTTAGTTAAGTAGAATACAACTTCTAGTTTGGTTCAATAAGATTAAATTATATTTAGTTGTTCTTTTGTTCCATGGGTTTAGTGTAAAAGTTACTTTTTTGTGGTAAATGAATATATGGTTTTTTATGTTTCATAATTTTAGTAAAAATTCTTGTGTAGTATTTAAGTTGAACTTTTGGTACTGCTTTTTAACCAGGTAATCTTTATTTTCAGTATTTATCTTTGTAAAAGATAATGTTAGCTTTTTCGTATTTTTGTTTTAAAAGTAAGATTATTTACAAAAGATTGAACTTTTTTAATTGTTGTAGTGAGTGATTTAAGTATTTGAACTTTGCTTATCTCTTGTCTAATTAATATAGATTCTGGAGTTTTCCAGTTTTACATATAGATAAGTTTTGAAAGTTTATGATTTAAGAGGATGTGAAATGTTTGTATTGGCTATACTTGAATATTTTTATTGCAAAAATGTCTGATTTTTGTGAGACTGGTTTTCTAAGTATTTATAAAGAAAATTGCTGGTGGTCTCTTTGGAAAATGTAGAGGAAATGTAGTTGTGTGTTTTAGTGCCTTGACCAGATAGACTTGCCAGTCTTTATTGAAGTTTAATGTATTCTGATATGAATACAATAACTAATAAGGGCTAAAGTTGTATTGTTGTTTTTTTTCCTTAAGATTTGCAATCCACGTTGAACAGTGTCTTAGTCTATAATCATAACAAAGTCTTAGCTTATGATTCAGAATAAATAATTCAGAACATTCAGAATGAATAATTTGGTGGCAGCAGCAGGAGTAAGTTAAGTTGGTGATTTTTAGAGTTAAGTTTTAGGAGCTACAATTTTTATAAATTAAAATTTTTCCTATTAAAGTTGTCAGCTCTATCTTTGTAAATTTTCTGAGGAGAGATTGTATTAAGGGATTAATGAACGTTTGGTGATAAGATTGGCATGCAAATCTTTATTTTTAAAGTTAAGGTATCATTAAAACAGTTGGCTTCCCTGTATGTATACTGTATTTTCTTCTTACACTATCCTTAGGATGGTAAGAAGTAGTATTAAATTTCTTGAAATAGATCCTAAAAATATAGGGATTAGTGATTGTCTTATGTGTCGTTTTGATTCCTTTTTTACTTTGCAAAGCAGTATTTAGATTGATTCAATTTAGTTGATTCAAATTGCCAAATATGTTAAGCGTTAAGTTTTCACTTTTGCATGGTTTGTAAGTTTCAGAGCAAACCTTGAAAAGCTAATAATTATGATTGTCTGCAACTAAGTTCAGAAAACATTGTAAAAGAATGGTTAAAATTTACTCTCAATAATTTAGACTACATTGAGTGGTGTAATTTTTGTAATAGAATATACATGTGTGTAAGCAGTAATTTGGAATATCTGCTACAGAAATTCTTAATATATTATCACTCTTTATGCACAAGAACAAGAAGAAGGAGTAGCACAAATAACTGGAAAGAGAGTCTCAAGAGTAAATAGTTACTAATTCTAGTAGCTAAGCTGTGTGTGTTGAAAAGTTTTGACTTTTTATACATCCAATAGAAATTCATTTAATCATTCATAATCTCTTTTTCTTCC